AGTAGTAAGTATATATATATATATATATATATATATATATATATATATATCATTTTCATAAATGTTTTTAAGATTAACCATGCTTGTCTAACTGACTTAGCTTCAAAAATCCATGAAATAATTTTTTTTTTAGCTAGTATTGATTGAGAGATAAGCATCAATGTTCTATTATCTTCTTGTCCATTAAAAATCAATCTTCTTTCTGATCTTCAAAAGGTAACTCAAAATCTCTCAAATATATCACATCGTTAAAACCATCTAATATTTCTTTCAAGTCTTCTAATCTGAGAAAATTTATGATCCTAATTTTTCATCCTTAGCAATCTTTTCCCTCAAATCTAGGATTTAATGATATCCAGAATAAATAAATATCTATTTCCTAATATTCTTTTTTGACAGTGATGAAACTTTCAAATATGTCCATCTTTCTTTATCAACTAATCGATATCATGACAACCTCATCATCTTTCTCCTCTGCAATATAATTTGTCGCTTGCTTTCTTAATCTTGATATCTCTTTTTATTTGATAATTTTCGTGATCAGATCTACTCCTTATTGATATTGTGATTAATTTTTTTTTCTCTTTAGAATTTTTCTCTCCTCATATTTTCTCTCTATAATTTCTCTTTCCTTAGATCTTTTTTCTCTATTATTTCTCTCTCTAACAAATCTATTCTCTCTCTACAGGTCTTTTTTGTCTTTAAAGAGATCAAATCAAAGCTCAAGATGGGATAAGATAGGAACTCACAACACCTATTTATCTTTCGACTCTCACACACTCTCTTTTAGGGTAGTTTCCTCTCCCTTTTTATATATCTTTCAAAATCTAATTTTATTTTGAGGATTAAACTCGCTCTGATACCATGTTAGACAAAAAATATTAAAAAAATAGAAGAGAGAAGAAATAAAAATAAATTTAATCATAGAACCTTCATCCTAATTCTACTTGAATTTAATTTACATTATCGAACAGAAAATTATTAAGGTAATTTTTCTTTGATAAAAAGGTTTAAAGATATGATATACGATAAAGATTCCAAGTTACGAAGAAGAGTTGATTTGTAGAAAAGAAGATAAACAAAAATACTGAAGATGAAATTAGAAGATAGATGTTCATTATATAGATATAAAAGAAAATAAAAAATATCTTGATAAAAATGATGAAAAATAGAACTTAAAAGAGAAGTTATCAAGTATTACAATTTTTTTCGAATAATATTATTACTGAGATCGAAGATGTGGAGATCATATAAAAACAAGATTAAAATTATGAGGTGGATAGTATTGATTTTATCGGAATATATGAATATGTTGATCGAATTGATTTTGTGTTTGAAGATTAATTTAAGAAATATGACAATATTAGTTTAAGACAGATATGAGTTATCCAATTGATCACAGTAGATGATGAAGGTAGACAAGACAAATGGAGAACATGGATGATTACTAGGGATCGAATGACTAAGAATTATAATTTTTTAGAAAACACAATATCAAAGGAGATTGTGGATTTTCATAATATTTTTTGTAAGGTCTAATTTAAAAAAAATAAAATATTAATTTAAACTTTATGATGAGATAAGATATAAGCTTAAAAGTCTTAGTCATATAGGAGTCTTTGTCATTAGTCAAAGACAGTCTTGGGTCGATCAGAGGATTAGTGTTAGAAGAGGTAGAGCCAAAAGAGAATTAGGGATCATGATGGATTGTAAATTATTATGTTTTAACAATAGTCTTTTGCTTTGAAGCACGTATCAATTCTCCTCTATCTATAGTCATTCTCTATAATCTATTATTTATCGATAACCAACCAGCTTTGCAAGAGATTTCCAATGGCTTGTGTTCTCTCAAGATAGAACAATGGAGGTTTTCAAGAACCAATAACAAAAGTCCACAAGGAGGAAGCAACACGCAATATCATTAAATTTTTATATCGGACTAACATTGTCATTTTTCTCTTTTATTTTCTCTTTGATTAGGGTTAAAATGGACTACGTTGGGTTGGGTTGGGTTTTTGTGGTAGAAGAGTAAGAAGGATCAGCTGCCATCCAACCCAATCTACTAATAGATCAAGAAATATTGACCGATAGGTTGCAAACATGTGATTGGCGCGTTGGATCCGGTCACATCTAGTTGATATTTTGAATGTGCTATCTAGTTTAGTAGGTAAACGTCTTGCTCGATCATCATAAGATTTTGGAATCAAATCTCATCTTCATCACTTATTTTTACGGAAACAATCTTTCAACAAAAAAAAGTCAAACACCAGATCAGGTTGAAGATTTGTCTATTTCGACTTTGACCATGGCTCGTCAAGAAAATGACTCTCTATCTTTTTAATCCAAGTTTCAAACCTTTATCTTCTCTCTCTATATATACACTTGTATTCCTACTGGTTAAGAGAGAGAGAGAGAGAGAGAGAGAGAGACAGAGAGAGAGAGAGAATAGCTCTGATATGATGTTGGAAAGTAGCTTTGATTTGACGTTGAAGGGTGATAAGCTCAAATAATTCAATAGAAGAGAAGAGAACGCTACACAAGTAACATTTCTACTGCCTCTTCCAAACTGCACTTAGATGCAGTACTTCCTCTCTCTTTTTGTGTGGGTGCGTGTGTTGCTTTTCCTCCTCCTCGTACATTGGACGTCTCATGAAACGTATATAAATACTGTACTCTCTTTTCGACATGCATAAATCACCACAAACGGCGTTCCAAAACATTTCTGTGGGCAAAAGCATAACCCACAGCATAGAAAAAGAATTGTCTATATACTTGCAGAGAAAAAAAAAGGGGCTGTTTATGACACCGTATCCCAGAAAGCAGTGCACTGCATATGATATGTACCTGTGCCTGTCTCTTCTGACCTAAGAGACGGTGGAGATCAGACATTCTCATTAGGTTACCAGTGTTCGAACTTGTGGTTTAGAGAATGGGATAGATAGGTAAACAAGTCTACGTAAACCTTTTCATCATCTACCTCGTTGAATAAGACAACAGCATGCAACTTTTACTGCAATGCCTATATTTGTTCGCGTCCCTCTCACAGTTTCACTCTATTGTACAACGGATAACTTGCTGTTTCCATATATTTCTCTGCCAACGCCTTACTCTTATTTTTTCTCTAGTTATTGTCGATCCTCAGATACTGGTGTGAGTGGGTAAAGCTTGGGAGGAAGGTCAAGAGGCAGAAGATGAGTGGGGAGGGTATCAGATCAACTGTTAGGACGAGGACAGCTCGACAAAGGTACACAGACAAGTGCTTCACAAGGATCCGGCAATGAGAGACAAAAGGCAGGACGGAGAAGGAGAGACTTCAAATCAAGTGACATGACCTACGAAAAAGCCCCGCTCGTCTCCCTGTCCCCAACCCACAGCCGTTTCCTCCATCTAGTCTCGACTCTCAGTGTTGGGGCAGTAAGTTTCCCAGGAAATCTATGGCATCTATCTTGTCACTCCCACTTCACTTCTTCCTTTCTTTGTCTTACTCCGAAGAGAAGAACTGGTGGGCGGCGCGCCAATTCATCCATACAGAATCTTTAGACGGATTCTGCACTAGATCATCTTCTGTGAGATTGCAGGTTGTTGATCATCCACATTTCCATTCGATCTTCCCTGACTATTCCCTAATAATTTCAAACGTTGATACCGAACGAAGTTTAGTGTTCGTGGCATCCCTTTCTCCATCTCTCTAAGGGAGCAGTGCAAATAATTTAAGATGGTACTGCCCAAATAGGGCCACAGGTGCAGTTGACAAGAACAGCACCACAAAGCAGGGTACACTGTATGATGGCCCTAATCAGAGATAGGCTCCATCTTAGACTGTAGGCCTAGCGCACCCTTCTTAACGATATATCCGAGCAGCACTTGGTAAGAGGTGCCCTTGTCCTTATTGCCCTCCCGGGGATGACTCCCTTCCTGTGCAGCACGACACTCTCACATGGTGTGAACCCAGCAGGCCTTCTCCATGCTGTATGCCATCAGCCTTCCTCTCTAGTAATTATTCATGCAGGAGAGCTCAGTTGGGGTAGGGTTTGTAGGGGGAAGGCCACGTCCCTCTCATCACCGCTCTCAAGTCTCACCCCAAGCAAATAAAAAGGCCACTGTTACTGATCCCCAAAGCTACAGACACTCGTCTTCTATGACACAGAAACCAAGGCCCTTTACGCTTGTGATGTATGAGAAAAGCAAGTGAGAGAGAGAGAGAGAGGTGCAGCACAGCGAGGGAGCGGAGAGAGAAAGAGACGGCTGCTGCGCAGGGAGGAACTGATGAGAGGATTTAACACACAGCCTTTGCCTTGAGTGCCGTAGCAGCAAACTGCAGTTTTCTTTGCTCCCAAACCATCTCTCATTTTTGGGTCTCTTCTACTGGGTGTTTCTTCTTCCACTTTCTTCTCCTTGAGTGCAGTGATCCCATGTGAAGCTTCCATGTCGCCCTTTAACTTCAATCCCTTATCTCGATGTCACCGTCTTATATATATAACAAGTCCACTTCGATTTGGTTGCAGGAGACCAGAGGGGAACTCGCTAGATCTCAACAACTTGCCCCCGGAGGAACAACACGGCAAGCAACCGCTAGAGGAAAGCTCCATGAGTAGTGCTGCTTCCGCCGACTCTGCTCGTAAGTTGGTTGCAACTAAATCGAGAAGGAAGTAATTCTTGTTCCCAGGTAATCTGATCGAAGGTTGCAGGGTTGAAGAAGAAGAAGAAGAGTGTAGGAAAGGGTGATAATTCTGGGAAGGTGTATGAATGCCGATTCTGCTCCCTAAAGTTCAGCAAATCTCAAGCACTTGGCGGGCACATGAACCGACATCGCCAAGGCAAGACAACGACCTTGTAGTTGTTGCTGCACCATAAAAGCTGCAAGAACTGATGTGACATTCCTGATCACTGACTTTGGATTCTCTTGGTAGAGAGGGAGACGGAGACTCTCAATCGTGCTCGTCAACTGGTGTTCAGCAGCGAAGCTCTCGCCCGTCCTGGTGCTATCGGGTACATCACTTTCTATTCTGTCAACCTCTTCCTACTACTTCTTCCTCATCTTTTATTGAGTACAGATTGAGAGATCTAAATGTTGGAGGCTTCCATCAATACGGAGACCCATGTCTACAATTCCGACCGGTCTATCAAGGGCTCCCAACACAGCAGCCGAACCCACCGCCAATGCAACAGCAACTCTACCGGCCTCCTCGTCCTTCCACCGGCAACTACTACATCGGCCATGTCGTCTCAGGAAGTCCCCATTGTCAGCGGCATCATCATCCCAGCTATGGAGCTCCTCTTTCTCGTGGTCGAGCAGATCATGAGAAGAACTGGGGCTGTGCTCACGGCCATGTCCAGCATATGAGCCGTAATCTTCGCAGTTAGGTGCAATAAGGCAGATGAGAAGATAGCTGAACTCCAATTTGGGCAGCTTACAATGTGATGCATGCAGATGTTGGGACAATAGGAGAAAAAGCCTAGAGAATGGCGACTATGTGCCCTTAGATTTCCGAGCGTGAGCTGTCAAAGCTAATGCTCTTAGAGTTCTGCATGCTACCAAACACTGTAATCAGTGACTTGATGCAGAAAGAAGCCACCTACCTAAACTTGTAGCCTGAACAGTCTATGCTCACCTTCAACCCAACTTTGGAACGTAACGCATGAGAGATCCAAAACAATATATGGTATCGAGGAAGGTTGAAGGATGCACTGCATCTTTCTCCGTCTTCTCCTTTTGGGCTTCGACTCGTGTGGTACGATGGGAAGATATGGTATCAACGTGTCACCGTTATCTCTCCGTGAAGGCGTCTCCCCCTCTCCCGAGGGGAATCGACTGCCATGGGCATCATCTTCGTGAGCCGCGCGTCCACCGAATCGCCACCGCCGCTCCTGCGACGACTCCTCCGGTTGATTAATGACCTCTTCCGCCCCGCCCGCCTCTCTGCTTTCTCCATTTACTGTTCCTCGGTCCGCCAACCCTACTCGAGTCAATTCGAGGAGCAGAGGCGAGGTGGCGAGAGACGAGGACGACATGTGTAATGGGGTAGGATGGCTTGATGTCTAGATTAATAAAGCAACTCTAATATGTATAATTCAAAAACACTAAAAAACGAGATGATACTAATTCGATTTCTAATCAATAAATTTATTATCTGTGATGTAGAATATAAGATTTGTAAAATTAATATATTATATTTAATTTTAAATATGAGAAAAAGAAGGAGACACATAATCATATATTTCTTCTCATTCAAACTAAAATTAAAATAGTCTTCTTCAAGTTTTCTTCATGATCCCTCTAATCAATACTTAGTTTAGTCCTAAACAACTCCTAGTATTCCATAATATTATAAGGCTCATATGTAACACATTAATATTAACAATTTAATGTATTGTTCTATAACACCCATAATTTCTCTAAAATTCTCAAACTTGTCTTTTGGTAATACCTTAGTGAGTATGTATGCTGCTTGTTCATAGGAGTTGCAATACTTCGATTGAATTTTACTTTCTTCAATTGTTTTTTATATGAAGAGATGCTTGAGTACAATATGTTTGATATGGCTGTAGCAGATAAGGTTTTTAGTTATTGCTATTGTTGATTTGTTGTCACAAAATATCTTTGTTCCTTTAATATTCTTTTCTTTAACATCTTTTAGAATTCATTCTCAGCCAAATTATACGAAGTAGCAATAGATATTGAAATATACTCAGCTTCAGAAGAGGATTGTGCCATTAATTGTTGTTTTTTTTAGTTTCAAGAAAATACACTTGCACAAAAAGAAAAACATAACTAAAAATACGCTTCATATCATCTGTACACCCACCTTAGTCACTATCACATAATCCAATTAGCTTCAAATTTTCTTGTTCGTCAAATTTGATTTCAAATCCTTTAGTACCTCGTAGATATTTGACTAGGATAATTTAGTACCTCGTAGATTTCAAATCCTTGATAATTTATGAATCTAGAAAATATATTTGCAGTAAATATAATATCAGGTATTGTAGCTGTGAGATATAACAGATTACCAATCAAATTACTAAAAAGAATAGCATCCATATGTTAGGAAATCGCGGATCGATATCTGATGCACAGCGAAAAATAAAAACCAAATCAGATTTTTCAAAATCAAGTACTTGGTCATCGTAGGACAATTGATGCATGAGAAAATCATAAAATTGAAAATCGCATATATCATGTGAGAAGTGTTACCTAGGGAGATCGTATATCCCTAAAATTTTCAGATCTGATGGAGAGGATGAAGGAGAACTTACGTACTCCTCTCTAACAGTGATCAACATGGTAGACGCAATGACGATGCTCATTAGATTGCTTTGGGATCTCCCTTTCCACATGCACCAGAAGGCCACCGGAGCTGAAGAGGAGGAGAGAAGGTTAAGAATAATAGGAGGGGTGACCACTAGAAGTTTTAACCTATGAACCATAAGGTTCCTCCTATTTATAAAGGTGCATACAACTTAACCTCAAAAACTACTTTATAATCATTCAATGTCAAATATAAAATAAAAATAATATTTTTGATACCAACACCATCTTCTATCCTTCATCTTTTTTCTTTAGTTTTTCACCACCTAGTAAAGGTCTTATAATAATATGACCTTAAAACATATAAAACTTCACCACTATGTTGTCGATATAATTCTTTTGAAAAATAAATATATCAATTTCATATTGATATATCAAGCGTTAGTATTTTCATGTCATTCATTTCATATTTATTCATCATATCATTTTTGAACTCTTCTATCATTTTTGTAATATTTTCTGTAAAAACTAAATCATCAACATAAAGAATAACAATAATTATACCTGAACCTCATCCAATTTTCGTGTATAAAGTAGGTTCACTCCTACTTTTTATGAATCTTTTTGCATTGAAGTAGCCATCAATCTCACTGTACCAAGCAATCCATTCAGTACTATTTTCAATTTGTATACCTTACTATTATGATCAACAACAAAACCTGGTAGTTAGCCAACATATAGCCCTTCCTTTAATTCTCCATTCAAACAAGCTAATTTCACATTAAGCTGATACAACAACCATCTTTTGTGAGTTTCCAATGTAATCAAAGATCTAATAATGTCAAGGCGAGCAACTGGTGCATAAGTTTCATCATAATCAATTCTATACTGTTGTGAGTAGCCTTTTACTACCAATTTTATCATATCTCTTTGCATTGAACCATCTATATTGTATTTCACCTTGCTAATCTATTTAACACTAACGGCATTTTTATTTTGATGTATATCAACTAGTTCCCAAGTCTTATATTTTTTAATCACACCAATCTTTTCTTTCAAAGCTTTCTTCTAGGCTTCCTATTTGATGACTTCTTCAAACTTTTTTGATTTAGCAATAGTAATTGTACCTTTGATAAATGTTATTCAAACTTTTCACTCTGACCGGAGTTGAGTTGGGAGATTTTAAACTTACAACTAGAAGATGATATAGTGAAATCAGCAGATGTTATATTTGATAAAAATACTATTTTAAATTAGAAAGAAGGAAAAAGGGAGCAAAAAATATAAATATATTAAACTTGCATGGTTTCAATTGTTAGAGCCCCAGATTTTGATGATGAAATTAATTGATAAGTTTATGATCTAATCTATATTTTTGAGAAAAGTGATGTAAGACTAATTTCGATCAAAAGGAAAAACAATTAAAGTAAGAAGAATCAGACGTTGGGCTGATGTCAGAAATCGGGCATCAGGCCGAAAGAATCGGACGTTGCGTTAAGATCGGATGCTACGAGAGTCAACATGTTAATGGATCGAGCGATATGCCAAAAGAATCGGACGTTGCGTTAAGATCGGATTCAGATGACGTGCCAAAAGTTTGCCTGGAGTTCGGATGAACCAATGATATGCCGAACAACTTAGATTTCATATTTAGTCGTTGATGTCTTAACTGTCGTAACTAGGTCTTGAATTGAGTTAGTTTTAAGTGTAACCTTACTAACTCAATTATGGGCCAATTGGGCCTGAATTAGTACTGAATTTAGTCTGTCGGTTGACCCATTTAGTGACCTATAGCTAGGTCAAGCGGTGGCACCACTAGACCAGTTGGTAGAACCACTAGAGGCTCGGTCTCCCAAGCACCAACTAGGCGGTGGTACCACCCAAACTGACGGTAGTATTGCTTAGTGGCAAGCGATGGTACCGCCCAAACATAATTGTCTAGGTTATGTCATGCGGTTGTATCACTTAGACTGACGGTAGTACCGCTAGTATAAGGGTATCAGGCGGTAGTACCACCCAGTATTGGCGATGATATTGTTAGTACCTCGAAAACCAGGGATGAGACCTTTTTTGGCTCCATTTTTGAAGTCATTTGGGGTCTATAAATACCTCACTCATCCCTGCTCGGTTTATAGAAAAACTGTGAATAAAAACTTATGACTCTAAGTGAGAAAAGTTTGTTGTAATCTTTTGAGAGTTTTCCTCCTCTTTTTTAAAAGCTTAGAATTTTGTCCAAGGGAGGTGTGAGACTTGTAAAGGTTCTCTCCTAAACTTATGAAAAGGAGAAAGAGTTGTAAAGGGTAGTTGATCTTCGCCTATTGAAAGAAGATCATTAGTAAAAGCCGGTGGCCTCATCGTAGGAGGAATCAGGAGTGGATGTAGGTCGTGATGACTAAACTACTATAAATCCGGTATGCTATTTTCCTTTGCTGTTTATCTTTATTGGTTACTGATTTTGTTGCTCACTCCACTTTACAATTACTTTAAGTCAAGCTCACTTTCGATATCAGTTTTCATTGAACAAAATTTTTAAAATCGTTGAAAGTTTTTGATAGCACTAATTCGCCCTCCCCCCCCTCTTAGTACCATTCACGATCCTAACAGTCGGTATCAAAGCCAAGTTTTTCTTAATTGGTTTAACACCCAAGAGAGACTAAATGATATTTTTTGATAATTAAGAGGGTTACTCTATTACTCGTCCTTCTATGTTCAATGGGACAGACTACACTTATTAGAAAACACGCATGTAGATTTTTTTAATTTTTATGGATTTTGATTTATGGAATGTCGTTGAAAATGATTTTCAAAAATCTTCTAAACTAATGAATAAATAGAATGATTTATAGAAGAAAATTTTTTCCTTGAATGCTATGACAATGAACACTTTATTTTGTGCTTTAGATAAGAATGAGTTTAATCGTGTTTCTATATGCAAAACTGTACATAATATTTGGCACACATTCGAAGTTACACATGAAATCACAAATAGAGTTAAAGAGTCTAAAATTAATCTTTTGGTACATAGTTATTAATTATTTAGAATAAAACCAAGCGAAACTATTGGTGATATATACACCCATTTTATGGATATCATCAATGGTTTAAAAGCTCTTAGTAAACGTTTTACTAATTTTAAGATCCTTTCCAAAAAGTTAGGATCCAAAAGTGACAATAATACAAGAAGCAAAGAACTTGAATAATTTTCCTCATGAAGAACTTATCGGGTCTTTAATGACCTATAAAATGACTTGTATGACACATGAAGAACATAAGAACAACCTTCCAAAGAATAAGAAGGATATGACACTTAGAACTAAAGA